GTGTGCGCGCGACGAATGATTTTCTTTGTCCCGAGGCTCCGCGTACGTTTGGCGTCGATTTTACTTTCCTCATACTCGTGAGTTTTTCATGGGATGATTTCCGGACGAATAATCGTCCAAAACTTTTGTCTGTGTTATGATTACTATTATTGTAAATTATCTAATCAGCAAAGTCATTAAATTCTGTACTAGTTTCAATAAAATGTATATTCATTAAATTTTCAACTGAGATTAGTAGTCTTCAGATTAGGAAAAAAGAGAATTGAAAAATTAAAACGGTGAAGAGATACACAGATTTCTTGTGGACAAACTGTGTGTTGCAACCATAAGAACCGAACGATAAGTGCGACTTCCAGCATGAAGTCATCGTTTAAGAATGCTTCCGAAATTCTAGCAATTCTAGGACCACCATTATATTCTTTGAACTTGTCCTCAGTTTTGTATACCTAGAACTACACTTATCTTAAAAAGAGCCGAAAGTTACAATGGAAAAAACCATAAATCAATTAGACAATAGTTTTTTTCAAATAAATGAAATTCGAACCGGCTTTCTCCTGTTAGACGGCAGTGTTAGATTCTTCAAAAATATTGAGTTGATTAAGTGAGTTCCGCTGGAGATAACAATTTATCTTTTCTGAGAATCCTAAATCACTAAATCCAATAGTATGGTAAAATCATAATTACGCGTTCGTTTTTTTTTCTCGATATTTACACATAAAGAGATAATTTACATATAAAATAAGAATATTTGTTAAACAGGGAGAAGAGATTGTACAATTATTTATTAATTATAATCGTTTTCCTTGAAATTTTTTCTAAGAAATTTCTTATGTATGTCGAATGATCTGGTGAAAAGAGGACGCACATCCTCTGTATATAATAGTATCCTTGTGCATACATTGGCATTCTCACTTAGAGTTGCGATGTGTGTGAGTTTTCTTAAGTTTTCCTACGCGAACTTCTACTGCCGACGCGAGAAAGTATGTTCGCGTCTCGGCGGATTAGCGCGAAAAACTTTGTTACACTTCCACCACTGAGTTTGTGATCGGTTATTAAAAAAATCGCAAAGTATATTTTGCGTTACGCGATTTATTTAAATATTATGTTATTTAGTTATCGTCGTGAAAGAATTCTATTTCTCTGTTTAATTAGTATTTGCCGACGTCATTACGAATCAAATGTGCGATTATAACGCTGAATCTTTGATAAAAATTTTCTTCTACACTTGTGATACTCTTGTATCGGTTTGCAGTAAAATTATTCATTATTCACGCAATTGCCAAGTCAATGCGCATGAGAAGAGTCCACTGCTTACTATTAATGGATGTTTCTTTCGTGGAAGTGATAATTCGTCGTGTTATCCATTTAAACTGGAACCAAGCGTAGATCGTCGTGCATGTATTCGTGTAGTCCGGGAAGAATGTTCTATTTTAAGTCATTTACAGAATCGCGCGTAAGCCGGAAGACTCGGAGTGACGTTGTACGCGGCAAAAACGTTATTACTCACGAACTTCGCGAAAGCAACTTTACGTTCTACGTGCGAAAAGGTAATTCTCGCGCGCGCGACATTGCTCGCAAATAATCAACCGTTATACCAACGCCTATTCCTTCGGGAAAATCGGTGTGATTTCTTCAAACGTCCGACATGTATTCTTTTACAATGAAATGAGATTAAAATGAGTTTCGCGTGGAGAACGATCGGTGAAGCACGTAGCAAATAATAAAAAGTAATTCCTGCGCCATGCAAGGCACGCGATGCGATAAGCGACTTGCATTAGTGAGAAATCACCGTCATAAACAGGTTGGCAACTTTGACATTTTGCTTTCTTCGAGAAATTTCGCGAAGGTGGTAAACGCTATTCCCACATACTCAAACGCTTTTGGAAAAATTGATAATTAAATTAATCAAATTTAAGTTTGAAAAATATTAAATTTCGATGAAAAATATAATTTATATTTAAAAATCTTACTTCAAGAAGATGACAGAATATCAATTTCGCGAAAGATATTTCTCTCAGATTAAAAATTATATGGCAGGTGTAAAAAGTTAATTATATTTTAAATTATATTTTAAATTGTGTTATCCAGAATTTTTTGACAGGGTAAAGATCGTGTATCGGAGGGTAAATCCGCGATATCTCACGAGTGCTGCGTTACACGAAAACTCCCCTCGCTCGCTATACGCCAAGCGGAGTAGTCAAGGAACGACGCAAAGGGAGGGATACAATGGAAGTAGCTCAATAAAAAGAATTTCGGCGCAAAGGATTTCCCACTGCATGATTACCCCGGCCTGGTCGAGCACGTAGCTCTTGTCGTGGACTCCTATTGTAGAGACCACCGTATACCGCCGCGCTTTTTCTTCTCGTCGAGACACTCGTTCGATTCGTCGCGGTCAAAAAAAGTACAACGCTTTTACGATAATTGCGCGGCACATACACAGCGACTTCGCCATTATCTCGAACACAAAGTCACTTCCGAAAATATTCCGGCGGACACTCAATTTTCGCGTCTTTTAACAAACAAACAAATGCGATAATTATAATTGAATTATGTCATTATATCAACCAGGCGTTATTCACGTAGCAACTTTACAGCAAAAAAAAACGTTTAGACGAACTGACGAGTAAAAAAGAAAATAATTCATGAATGCCCAGAAAAGTTCGTTAATTGATTAATTATTTTCTCCCTTTCCCTAATTCCTTTCCCAAAAAGTCTCGCCCGAAAATCATTTTTGACACTGCCGAAAATTACCTCGCGCGAATCTCAAATTTCGCGTCTCCGTCAGACTTCTCGCTCACTTACTCGAGAAAATTGTCGACGCCCCGGCGAAAACGCGTCATCCTCGCCAATGCGATCGGCATTGGGAAAAGTTAGATTTCCGCCAGTCGCGACTTCCAAGAGGCAGGCAAAGCGGCTTCTCCCCGGCGTATCTGGCGGAGATATAAAAACCGTGAGCAGCGCGCGCTTATCTTAGAAATGTGCCACATGTTATTCACTCTGTTCATCTTCCGCCCTTCGCCCGGCAGCTTTTTCATTTCTCTTTCTTCCCTCTTTCCTTCTCACTCGCATTCTTACGTGCCATACTGCTGTTTCGCTCGCTACTTTTATTCTCTCGGCATTGCGTCTTCTCTTCCTTTTTATCCTACCTTACTTCCCCCTCCCCTCCCCCTCCCCTTGCTCCCCTCCTCCTCCCCGCTACCCCGTTGCGCTCACGTTGCTCCACCATTTTCGCTACTCTTTCTCTCTGGCTCGCTTGCCGCTATTTCTCCATACTACTACTCTCCTCTCGCTCGCTAAATCGTTCCCCGTCTCTCTTTTGCTCGTTACCTCGTTGGTTCTCTTTTCCGCTTTGCTCGCGCCACTCTCATCTCCCTTGCCTTCCGTTTCGCCTTCTCGTTTACACTCTCATGACGCGTTCTCCGCTCTTCTCCTCCCTTCTTCGTTCGGCATTCTCTCGTCCTCCTCGCACGTGTGCCGCTTCTCCTCTTCCACGTGTTCACCACTGTGGAGGGACTCTTCGGTTTATTGTGTCCGTGTCGCCTTCTCTTTCTCACTCCCGTTTCCGACTCGTTCCTCCTGTATGCACCTTTCGACCCACGTCGAGCGGTACTTCCATCCTCGTTCGCCCCCGAACGTCTCTCTCTTTCGTATGTACCAAAGATTTATTCCCTCGGTGCAGGGCCGGTTAAAAACCTCACAGGCCCTAAGCGCTTCTAAATGGGAACGCTTTGAATAGACACGGATACACCGTATGGGTAAATAAAATTATTTATTGGCTCTTTTGAAACCGTATACATATTAGTATACGATGAATGGGTAAAAATTGTCAGAATCGCTAATTAATCACATAACGTGAAAATGTTGACAAACGTTAAAGAAAAAAAAAAAAAAAAAAAACAACTGAAATATTGCAATATATTTATTGAAAAAGATTTTTTATTCGTGTTATATTTTCGACGCGTGTTTCACGATTACTCTAATTGACTCTGCCCCGTATTCCGATACGAACGAACGCACACCGCGTGTCGTTTGCACATTCCACGCAACGCGTGTCGCATTCGCCGACCTTTGGTATCTTCAGGTAATCGGCCTTCGGCGTGGTAAATACTAGCCGTAACATCGGCATAAAGTGATGACAAAGTCCGCAAAAATGTCCGATACACTTGACACTTTAAAGAAACCGCTGAATTTCGCGAAACGTGATTTCGTGCGAGGCATATAATTATATCTCGTTAAAGTAAACTTATTAAAATAGACTGCTCTTTCCAGTGTAACAGCGGGTAGTATAACGCGATAGTGCATGGCGTCGTGCGTTAATAATCCGTAGACGCATTATTTGCTATATCAAAAATAAAACGAAATATGAGATAACGAGCGATAAAATATTTAGATAAACTGTAGTGGACTCTGAATTAGTTGGAAAATTCATAACTCTATAATTATTTCTCATTAGTTTCTAATAAATTGTGTAATGTGTACTTAATATATGTAAATGTGAAATATTTATAATACAGTATTACGTATCAACTATAAAATAGTTAAGTAACTATTTTATAGTTGATACGTAATACTCTAATTCTTCAGAGTGAAATAAAATAAATAAGTGGAGGAAAGGGTTTAGATATCGACGGATCTTTAATATTTATTTTCGAGATCTACGATTATCTATCATAAGTACGTTTGGGAAAACACGTTTATCAAAAATTCTAGTGGCGCCTATGTCGATAATAGGGTACGATGACCCAAGGAGGGAGCGAGCTAATACGAGTGCATCTGCACCGACACCATTAACGTACTGCATCGTGTACGGCCGAATAGGAGACGCGCATATGGATGATAAAATGTGTGTGTGTGTACGTATACAGACAAGGTTTATACGGGAGTGCGCGGTGTTGTTCGCGCGAGCGACTTCGTCGTCGGAGGGACAAAGCACTCGGCATTTCCCGAGGCGAGCGGCTCTACGTTAAAACTACAGTTAAATGCGCACAGTTCTACGCGGACGCGTGCTGCGCACCGCAATGCACGGCGTCGATTGTTTCGTCGAATCTTGATAAGACAGCTTTTATCATCCACGTTTTATCCTAGATTACACGATTGTATTGTATTCCTCAAAGTAAACGTAATGGTATCTGCGATTACTACATATCGAGGAACGGAAAATACCTATTCTTAGTGTACAGTAAACAGGAATGTTCCTGCGGAACTCCTGCTATTCATAGGCTTACGGTTTACAGTTGTGCACTCTTTCCTCGATTCTTGCATTTTGTCAAACGCGTCGTCAGACCGGCAGGTGTACCGCGAAGAAGATGGAAAACGGTACGGAATCAGCGCATGGTATTAGATAATTCACGTATGTCTTATGCAAAAGTAGCGACTGTGTTCGCAAAGACTGTGTATTACGCTGCACATTACTAAAGTTTTTGTCATCATTCTTCATTACATAACGGACATTTATTGCGTGACGACAGGTAGGAATTATTTGTCGCAACGCCAAGAACGCATCAACGTTGACTGCATATATCGTAAAATAATACAAACTACTGTGAATAAACAAAAAAAAAAACAAAATATATATATAATATAAATGTAAAAAAACACGAGTTTAATCAGAGATTTTTTTAACGCAAAACCGATTCCAAATTAGTTACAATATGTCACTGTGCGGAGCGTGGACACGACTTTTATCCCGTACGTATGTTTTCAGCAATTGTGCAACGCCGCTTTCTGCATGAGCAGACGGCAAGAGCCACCGGGTGTGTTTTCGGTTTCCCACTGTTTAAACAGATTACATCGCAATGCTCGAGCGATTCTCAAGTGCGTTTATGTACGAGCATAATACGCTATACCAAAGTCCGTGAACAAAGAAGAACGAGGCGATGTCGACGACCTACCCGAAGGAACTTTTCGTACGTGGGTGGCTGAATAATGTGCAATGATTCAGTTACTAATAATATTATAATATAATACTGTAAGCATGAATTTTATACTTCAGTTTTCAGTATTACTTTAACCTTAGCCAGTAAAGCAAGGTACGTAGCGACAGCAGTCTTTTTATTTCACCAGAAAAATCATTCGATACTCAATATTAATAAGATAAATATTCGCTAAAAAATACAAAAAATAAGCAGTATAAATCGTACTCAAGTCGTGCGATATCAATATTATATGATTTTAAATCATTCAACTGCACGATATTCTGCAAAAAAAAATTCGCTTAATCAGAGGAGAGAAAAAGCATTCGGGAGCTTTTTATTAATTCATGATTGCAGTTACGACGACGCGGCAGATGTACATACGGCGAGAAAGAGAGAAATGAGCGAGACAGAGAGAGAAAGAGAGAGAGAGAGAGAGAGAGGAGGGCAGAAAGCCTGTCATATAGAGCAGAGCATAGGGCGAGCTTAAGTTTACCTAAGGGAGGATAGCGGTGGCTCGCTTCGCAGTCTCGCGTGCCGGCGAGACATACGTAAAGCGTTGTTGTTGCGACGCGCTTTCGCGCAGGTGGGTTTACCTGCCCGCTCGCTGTAAAGTACCGGCGGCTACGCGATACGCTCCCGTAATCTACATCTGCCTTCCTTCCAGGTTAATTAAATGAAACTGTGAACCGCCTCGCCGCGACTCCCGCCGCGGGACGCCTCCTCGTCGCGACGGGACCAAGGATTGATTTTTGAATTCTCAGCGCGACGGATGATGCCTGATAGTCGGTAATGCGCGATGCTTGATGAATGATAATTAGTACAATCGATGATCTGCCGCGAATGCTAATCAGTCGCCAAGCTGATGGGTGTAAATAAAGAGAGGACAGGCGCTTGTATTTATTACATCGATTTTGAACATCGTTTCCAAAGTTGAAAAGAATACTTGCAAAACGCGATAAATGTCAAACTTCTTTCAGATAAATTCATTATTCGAGACCAGGATTGCGTAGTTTGCAACGTTTAAATACGCTCGCGTAATTTCTCCAAATTTTTCCCCGCACGTTATTCTTGATACAATAGATATAAGTCGATCAAATAATTTCATTAAAAAAAACTAACTCGATTATAATAACCGCATTGTGTTCTCATTGTTTGGTCGGTTATTCTTCGGCTTCTCTTTCGCCTCGTAATAACCCTCACGTCAATAATTGAGACGTAGTACATGTATGAAAGCGCGATTCCTTTTCGTGTTGGATCAAGTACACGGCGGTCGTAAATCCATCCTCTTTGTAGCGACAGATGTTCAAAGGAGTGCCATACGTGTATAAGTATATATATATATATATATACATATTGATGTGTTCCTGTTGCGCATAACCGAGTTCACTCGCGTGTTGCGGAAACTCGGACCACCGTGCATCTATACACGACGTGATGGCCGAATTTTCCTGCGAAATTTCCTCGCCGAAATTTTTCTCCCGAATTTTCGCTCGCACACTTTCCTCCGCGCGTTGCTCCTAATACGAAACTTATGCCCTAGTTGTACAAATACTTACATTTTCTCGCGCAAGTCGATGCGCACAAAAGATATCTTCCACTTTACGCTAGCAGTTCCAGACCCATCCGATAAATTACTTAATATTATCTTCAAAATTAAGATATAATTCAAATATGCAAAATTTCTGCGAATTTTGCGCAAAGAGAACGTCGAGTTGTATATTGTATGAGAAATATACATGACTTTCATTCTAAATGCGATTTGCGAGTAGATGGAAATCACGCATATCGTGATAAAACACCGTTTACTTAATAACGAATGTATCGATAATCAAGGTTCCCCAGTGATTTTATGCATTTTTGTTATTACCGGTAACGCCGCGCATCGAGATAATTACCAACTCCATTCTCGGCGCAATGTTAGTTATCTTAGGTAATAATGCGGCGTGCAAATAATGCCAGGTTGGAAAGAGATCCGTGTCGCGAATGCAAAAACATATATTAGACGCGCCGCTGATTTCACGAGCGATGCGATTGGTCAACGCAACAATAATAAGGCGATATCGCGGCCGCTCTCAATCTTTCCTTAAATCTATATTATAATTTGTACGTATTAAAGCTGCTGGACGGGTGCGGATCGCCGACAGCGCCACTTTACGTCTTAAATACCGGAAATAGCCGCGTGTTTATTTAAGAAAGGATTATCATGAGGACAGACGTGGCGCACGAAGGGGAGAGACCAAGAAAGCGCGGTATAAGCGACGAGAGGTGCGGGTCGTTAATAGTCGTAATTTGCACCGTAAATTGGACGGCGTGTCTGATTCACCGGTTTTAGTTGTGCGTCGAGACAGGTAATGTTTAAGTAAGTAATTATTAGCTAGAGTCCCGGACAGCGAGTATACTACTCGACGCGGCTCGACGATGTTACCGTTAACTCCGCTCCGCTCGAAATAAATCCACTTTTTAGGCGAAACACCCGTAGTCAGGTTATTTATACCGTCGTCGTCGTGTTTGCCCATGCCTGCTCAAGAAACAAGAAACATATGGTTCGGGCAATAAAACACGGAAATTTGTTTCACAGCCGCAGCGGCGATTCGTTCCGCATTTACTTCAAGAATTTTGTCACATTGACTTGATAGTCGCGTAATAAACGTCCTCGCTAGGATTATACGTCGGATCTCTTCTGTCAAGGTGAAATCACGTAAATCCGGAATGTACGCTACTCGGATTAAAATAAATCGTTCAAGATAACATTCAATGCCTAATGTTGTATCCTTCCACGATAAATGTCGACTTTAATTAATAATTTTCTCTCTTTTTGATCTCCGCTGCGTTTATTACATTCAGATTAAATTTTACAAACGGGACTTGACGACTTTCCCCGTCATAAACCCTAAAGCAATTTTTCGATATCCGTATTATCTACATATATATAATAATATTTCGTTTTACACTCCTCTATTTTTCATTTCGCCCGTAAATATCCAAGCTTTAATGTTAAACCAGCTGCTTGTCGTCAGTACGTTTATTTGCCTCGTATTTATCCAATTATTATAAAGCTCCATTAAACACAACTAAATTCGCACGATAAAAGAGATATCGAACGATTAACATCGAAAGGCTTCAATAAAACCGGGTATCACAGTATGTGAGTAAAAAAAAATGTCAATACTTGAATCGGCCGAGCGGCGTATCTATTATCCCCGCGCGGTATTCCGTAGCGCGAGTCGCCCACCGAATAAAATTCGATAGGGTTTTCAAAATACCGCCGGTTCAATTTTATCAGGCGTCGCAGTGGAGGGAGAGGGAGAGGCGAAGAAGGGGGAGCAGCGGCGGCCGCGGTGGTGGCGGCGTCGATCCATTATCCGAGGTAGAAAGGAAAAAAGGCTGCTTCTCAAAGCCGCGTGCGCTCACTCGCTCGCGTTCGCGCCGAATAACGAAGTTTGTATTGCGCCGTCGCCGTTGACGTCGACTCGGCCGAGTAATTATTTCGAGCAGGATCCAATTTGAACTTTGTTTCACTGTTGCTGTGTTTTTATTAAATTGATTCGTGGGAGAGTACACAGTTAGGCACTGTCAGGCGCATAACAGACGAGCGTCTACGGGGGCATCCTCCTGCCTCCCCCCCCCCCTTGCCCCTGTACAGAACATTTATTACCCGGCATCGCGGAGTAACGCGGACGTGGCACGTTTTGTCGCTCGGCATCGCGGCTAATATCGCGACGGGTCGGTAGGCCATTTTATAGGATGTGCTCGTTAGTAACCGAGTATAAATAAGTGCGACTACACGTGCGCCGAAGTGCGCTTCTAACCGCTGGAAAACGAGGCGTTTCAACTGCTGGCGAACCGGGATAGAGACGGAGGGAGAGCCCCCGAGGCGTATTAATTTGTAAAACGCGCTGACGTCGTCTCTAAACGTTCCCGAACGTCGTTTCTATCCCGACCAGTTGGAAATAAAGCATGGCGAAATTTCACGAATCGTCGCGGGAGCTACGTAAATTAAAAAAAAAAAAAA